CTCTCCTTCCCTTCCACCCCGCCCTTTCCGCCCCTCGTCCTTGGCCGGTTGTTTGTGTTTCGTGCGGGCGGCCTCGCGGGATCCTCTTTGGTCACTGTGAGGTGCCAGTCACACCTTGCTATTGTGTGCGGGGAAGGGCGCCGCTCATATCGCTCATTATCTTCTTCCAGCGGCTTTGGGAATATTTGGTAATGTTTTTGTTTGGTTATCAGGTGTTTTTTGTTTACAGTGGGGGTGGTGGTCGTTTTGTAATCGGTTGTTGTTGACAAGTCGCATGAGCAACACGAATTTTTGGCGTCTGCTAATGTATCCTTTGCGAGTGGGTTTTAAGCTTATCTTGTATTGAGAGAAGGGAATATTCATATATCCGGACGTGGCAGCGAGCTCAATAAACGTCGGCTAGAAAGCTATGAAAAAAAAAAAACATTGAAAGAACAAATGTCCAACGTTCATTGCACGGGGTTGCGGCGGCCTTCGCGTGCGTCGGCATGCGGACGGTTCAGCTGCGGTCGGGAGCAGACGTTGCGGGTTTGAATTGGACGGCCGATATGTGTATGTCGGGGTATGCTGGTGCGCGTGCATTGTTGTGCTCGCTCGCGTGGCGGCCCGTCATAATGTTTTCGGTTGGGTCGGGCGCCGCTGTGTCTTGTTGATAAGTGCGTGACGTTTGTAGCGGCAAGCCGGAGGTGGGGTCCGGAGAGGGGGAGGGGAGGGGGGTATGGTTTTGGTGTATTGTGTGGGGTAAAGGGCGTTTCTACGCCCACCTACTCGCAGGCGCTTCCTGTCTCGACGATTAGCATGAGTAATTATAGTAAACGGTCCCTTTTAGGTAGGTGTGTGTGTGTGTGTATGTGCATTTGTATGTTTATATAGGTGTTTGTGTGCGTGCGTGCGGGCATCAATGTATATCTTTTTCATACACACCTATATATATACATACATACATACATATATATACTTACATATATACGTGCATGCATATATACGTAAATATATACATGCATGTGTATATATATATACACATACATACATACATATTTATACACATACATACAAATATAATACATGTAGGTGTGTAGGTGTATGGATGTATATGTATATATGTGTGTGTATTTGTTTGTGGGCACATACATACATACTCGTATGTATGTATATATATATAGATGTATATATTATGTATATTTGTATATATGTACATAGGTGTATATAAATACACACACATATGCATACATGTATATAGATAGATAGGTTGATATGATGATAGATGTAGGTATAAGAGAAGCGCAGTCGCGTACGCACTGAAGATAGAGATCATTGTCCATGTCTTCCCCACTCGCTTGTTAGCATTATCCAATTGGCACCCTTTTGTTAACTTTATCGTAATTACTTGAAGCATTCATTAATAGATGCGTACCGCACGTGGATCTGTCCTTGCTGGGCCGCATTTTCCCGGAGCATGACAAAGAACCCACGTGCTGGTTCTGGGTATCGTGCCCGCTGGCCCCGGGCACACGCCTCACGCGGCCGGGCAACGATTTTCAAAACTCGCGGTGACGTCATCTCCACCACCACCGCCACCGCTGCGCCCCCCCCCCCCCCCAGAAGACCGACCGTTGGGGCGTGACTGGGGCGGGGGTGTTGTGAAGTGGGGTGGGGTGGGGATGTGAGTGCTGTTGTTTACGAAAGTAAATTTCTTCGGTGCAAGTTGTCATTGTGTGAATTGACGGATTGGATTGCTGCGCGTGTGATGCCGTGGAACTAGGGTTAGGGCAGGTGTAGACTCTTCTACCCTCACCCCCCCTCTCTCTCTCTTTCTCTCCTTGTTCCTCGTCATCATATTTGTTTCTCTTTCTCATTGTCTTTCTTTCTCGTTGTTTCTCGGTCTCCCCCCCCCTCTCTCTCTCTCTTTCTCCCTTTTTTCCTTCTTTATATGTTTGAATGTTCTCTCTCCGCCTACACTAGATTTCTTTGAGCGATGATACAGTTTTTTACCTGGAGCTGACATTTTTCCCGCCTTGCTTTGAAGTTGTTGATTGATTTATATATATATATATATATATCTGTAAATATCTTATCTGAAGTTCCGTATGTGGGGTCGGATAAAACTCGTTATGATGACTCAGCATTGGTTGCCTCCCCACCCCCACCCCACCCAACCTCCCACGTCGGGGATAACAGCTGGTAGAGAGAGAGAGAGAGAGAGAGAGAGAGAGAGAGAGAGAGAGAGAGAGAGAGAGAGAGAGAGAGAGGGAGAGAGAGAGAGAGAGAGAGAGAGAGAATTTTGTTATGATACTTGGCGCGCATCCGGTGCTGTCAGAATTTTAGCGGGCTGATATATTATGCGATATTATATATTGACTTTTAAGTTCTTCCAATTCGTATCGTTTAAATTCATGTGACGCCTGCTACGGCTGCATACGTGCGGTTATATGCATGGTGATCTTTTACTTGCCGCTTTTCAGTATGTAGGTGATAATCATGTGGGTAACACTTGATATGTCAGTCAGCGATTATTTTTTTCGTATGTACTGTAGATTCTATCAAAAGAGTGTAGAGTTCTGTATTTCAAACTGCGCTGTCTCTATCCTATGCTGTATTGCAGTGGAAGGTTTGTTACTGGTGGATTGATTGCTGTAAATATATGATGCATTTATCGGCTCACAAGGCATTAGACAGGTGGGGTTGGAGAGCGTGCCACCGAGCGCTAGAAAATTGACTCGGGACTGAGACGTATTGGGCGCGGACCGTTGCTTGCTTGCTCGCTCGCTTTCAGTATTGATAGAATGGGCTTTGGTTACCTCGAAAAGCAGGCAGTGATTGTTTTCGGCTCGGTAGTTTTGAAGTTGCTGAAATCCGCGTTGCATGGATGGCAGCGTTGATTGCGTTATGGTGATGTGTGGTTGGAGTGAATGAGGTTGGGAGAATGTATTACATTTGCATATCTGTACCTGCATATCTACTAGACTTTGTTATTATTTTTCTGCCTATCTGTACTGTGTATTTGATATTATTGTTTTTTTCTCTCTCCTCTTATCTTCTTCTCCTCTCCTCTCCTCTCCTCTCCTCTCCTCTCCTCTCCTCTCCTCTCCTCTCCTCTCCTCTCCTCTTCCTTCTCTTCTCTTCTCTTCTCTTCTCTTCTCTTCTCTCTCTCCTCTTCTCCTCTCCTCTCCTCTCCTCTCCTTCCTCTCCTCTCCCTCTCTTCCTCCCTCTCTCCTCTCCTCTCTCTCTCTCTCTCCTCTCCTCTCCTCTCCTCTCCTCTCTCTCTCTCTCTCTTCTCTCTTCTCTCTCTCTCTTTCTCTTCTCTCTCTTCTCTTCTCTTCTCTTCTCTTCTCTTCTCTCTCTTCTCTTCTCTTCTCTTCTCTTCTCCCTTCCTCTCCTCTCCTCTCCTCTCCTCTCCTCTCCTCTCCTCTCCCTCTCCCTCTCCCTCTCTCTCCCTCTCCCTCTCCCTCTCCCTCTCCTCTCCCTCTCCTCTCTCCCTCTCTCTCTCTCTCTCTCTCTCTCTCTCTCACTCCAAACATTCAGCAGTTTACAACTGCATTTTTTGGTAACTAGTTTGTAGTAACTTTACCAAAACTAAAATTTTCTTTTTTCCTTATTAAACATTCCAGTCTCTCTTCCTATTTGGCTGTCCTTTTCCTATTCCTTTGCCTACCGTCACATTTTCCTAGTTCTCTCTTCCTTATTTGGTTCTTTAATTCAATATTATAAACTCATTAGCAGTCATGCTGCTCTTCCCTCATGAAGGCCAAGTAAATTATTTCATTTTGTGTTGAGAGTTGGTGATAAATCTCGCAAGAGGATTAAATGGGGATGTAGGTCATTGAGGAACTGCAGAGTTTCTGATCCTGTGTGATTGCTGGGATAAACACTAAGGCCATTACAATGCAGTTTTCTCCACGCAGGGTCCTTGCCAGGCATTTTGGTGGAGATCTTTAGCCACACACAGTCAGACCACTGCTTGGCAGGAATGGGGTGGATAATAAAAAGGCATTGGGTTATTTGCCATGCTTTTGCACTGGGAGATCAGTTCCAAGAACATTGTCAATATTTCTCTATTGCTATCTCTCTCTATCTCTCTCTCTCTCTCTCTCTCTCTCTCTCTCTCTCTCTCTCTCTCTCTCTCTCTCTCTCTCTCTCTCTCTCTCTCTCTCTCTCTCTCTCTCTCTCTCTCTCTCTCTCTCTCTCTCTCTCTCTCTCTCTCTCCTCTCTCTCTCCTCTCTCTCTCTCTCCTCTCTCTCTCTCTCTCTCTCTCTCTCTCCCCCCCTCTCTCTCCCCCCTCTCTCCCTCCCCCCCTCCCTTCTCTCCCTCCCTCCTCCTCCTCCTCCCACCTCTTGATTATTGTTAAATCAATCTTTTTGTCTTTAGTTTTCTGTTTTCCAATTTACTTCCTCTTAGTCTTATTCCTCATTTTAATGGCCTTAACCTCATTATTTCTGATCGCACCAGGGCTGTTTTCCCTCTCCTTATTTGTGTTGTTTGAAGTAGTGTGCATATATGTGTATGTTGTGACTGTCATCTTTATATGATGTATATGTAAAAACAAAAAATAGGAGTAATACAAGGTGCAGAGTTGCTGTAGTAGATATGCTATGAAACATAAGGAGAATATATATGGAATTCATCTGTAATTGTTTTAGAATCTGGAGAGTTAAGAGCGTAAAGGTTGGCAAAGAGTGGAATTGTGAAATGGGAATGGGGTGTTTTGGTTTTTGCTGTTGATTGCTGCTGCTGTTAATATGATCATTGTTTTTATGATTGATAATGATTATATTTATTATTATGAATATTATTATTATTAACAAGTAAAGATTTGAAATGCATTTGTGGCAACAAATTATTGTTAAACACGGAAAAATACCTTGGCATATCTTATCACCAGAGCGCATCATGAAAAGTACTCTAGATACTTGTGATAGTGTGAGGGTAACAGTGACTACATTAGTAAGTGTGTGGAGGTTTACAGCTGGAACTCATGACCTCATTCTCTTCCTGTTTTACAGATATAATATAAAAGAAATTGCACTGCAGACTGCTCTGTATTTATGAATAATTATTTAACATAAACATAAAGAATAAACTTGCTGTGACACTGGTTGTGCTCATGTGATTAACACTGACAAGAGGAGACCGCAGAAGACCCTCATGTAATTTCATGGGCTGACAGATAAACGGCTCAGAGTCCAGAACAATGAGCAAGTTATTTCCAATGTTCAAGAAGAAGGGGAGGGGGAAGGAAGAGGAAATAGAGGATGAGACAAAAAAGAAGAAGAGAAGTAAGACAGGAAAGGGGAAAGAGGAGTTTATCAGTTCCTCTCTTCCATCCCTGTCCCCCTCTTTCTCTAAATCAGGTAAGAAGAAAAAGAAGGAGAAAGATGCAAAGCAGAAAGAATTGTCATTTGGCAAGGAGAATCTTTTTGTGGCGGACATGGAGGAACTGCAGAACCGAGAGTTCTACATTGATGACGATGGTTCTGTTAAAACGGGGCCCAAGCTGGAAGTGACAAGTTTTGATGTGTCCTTTGAAGAGGAAGTTAGCATCCCAAGAGGAAAGGGCAGTGTCACTGAAGGGGACCTGGAAATTGATGTCCAGATTGATGAGGAGAGTGTGGTCAGTTTAAACAGGGATGATAGTGCATCAGAAGAGAGTGGAAGTAGATTGGATTTTGAGGATGGTGATATTTCCAGAAAAAGCTTTAATGTTGTTGGGGGGTTCTCTGAGGATGTTTTTGAGGCAAGCACAGACTTCTTCAAAGATTCTAATGTACCTGATGATGGAGCAAGTGCTGGTGAGGAAATACTGGCAAATATTAGTGGATCATCTGAAAACACAGACCTTATGATTACTAGTCATTCTGAGGAACCACATCCTGATGTGAAACACGAAGAACAAGAAGATTCGGGCATTAGTGTAAAGGATCTCTCCCCTCCAGAGCTGGACAGAAGTGGTTCATCGGAGAAGTTATCTGAAAAATATGCTAATATGAATGGAAATTCAGAAGAAAAAGCAACTTGTAAAATTGAAAATGGGGAATTGCCTGATATGGAGGACACAAAAGGAACTGATGTGGATACCATTAGTGTTCGTGTTTGTTCTGCTACAAAGGAAGATAAGTCAATGGTTGTGATCTCTAATAGTGAAGAAACTCAGGAAGCAAATCCAACTCTGATTTTGCCTCAAAGGGAAAGTGACCCAGATGAAAATAGTGGAGATACAGTAACACCGGAGGCAGAGACTGAACATATCAAAGATGATCAAAGCCTTTTGAGCAGCCAGGATAGTGATGAAGACTTTGATTCAGCCCAGGAGGACTGGGATGAAGCAGACGGGGGGGAACAGAAAGAGAGTAGTCCTGAAGGGTATAAACCTGCTTTGTTGGATGGCAGTGTAGTTGAAGAAAAGAGTAACCATGAAATTGAATTAGCTGAGCAAGGTAAATCACCATCCGCTGATCTGCTCTTGAATGAATCGGTTAATAGTGTCATGATACATAGGATGGAGGAGGAGTGTGAAAAAGTTCAGGATGTACAAAGAGAAATTAGCAGTGGCTCTTCCCAATTTGAAGATGCATGTTTTGTGCAGGAGAATGCAGATGCTGTTGGTATTGATACAGTAGTTGAAGCCTATAATGATGATGTTACAGTTGACCCTACGGGAGTTGAAAGAAAGAATTCCCTATCAAGGGAAAAGCTTGTCCGAAAATTGTCAGGTGTATCAACAACCTCCAGTGATGCCTTCAATGAGGAGTTAGATGAGCTCTTAGATGAAGAACTGGACAGATTGTCAGAGGAGGAAGAAGGATTAGAGTCAGAGGACAGCCAATCCCTGAAGACATGCCAGTCATCGTTAGGAGAAGTCCTTGCAAGCAGCCAAGATGCCAGTCTTTCTGAGGATATTTGTAGAGCAGGTGAAGAAGACCTTAAAGTTGAGGCCGAGTTGCCAGTAGATTCCCCAGTTGTTACTGAAACGCCTGATACACCTGGGAAAAGGATAGAAGAGAATGAAATCAAAACAGAAGTAATTGACACTGATGTTACTGATGGTAAAGCAGAGATCTATGACTTATCACCTGAAAGCAGTACTAGCTTGAAGAACAGTACAAGTTCACCAGACATAGCCAAGACCTCACTCCTAAACCCAGACGAAGGAACAGAATTAGTGAAGGACAGTGGTTATTATAGCCTCCCTGTGTCACCTAAGCCTGGTATAGATTTGCGTGAGAATAAAGATAATGCTAGTGTGGCCAACAAGGGTGACGATTCTTTTGTTGATAGTGAGGAAGAGGGGATGGTCACCCCTCCCAGTGAAACAACATTGGTGAAAGATGATTCTTCAAAACAAGAGGAAAGTGAGGAATGTGTGGATGATACACTGCCTCAGAATGGGTCAGCCCATGATGAATCAACTGTTCTCTATCAGTCTTGTCTTGAAAGCAATGAAGCTGAAGATACTGAAAAGACAGATAAGGTAACAGATATCATCAATGACATGCATAGTGAAACTGAAATATCAGAACATTCCAAGGATTCCAGTTCAAGTAGAGGTAAAAATCTTGAGCTTCACATTCCAAAGGATATAACTACAGAGTTTAAAGAGGAAACCAGTTCTCCAAGTTTGGGAACACCAACCAAAAATAGACTGAAATCTCCAATTCCTGAAAATACACCACTCAAGGCAGACAGTGGTTCTCTGAAAAGTCCTGATCCTGTTGGAGACAGGTTCTTGGCAGTAGCTGTTTGCCAATCACACGATGAAGTAAGTTCTTACTAAAAGGTAAACTGTTTTATGCCTCTTACATAGTATGCATATGCTGACGGAGCTATTGTAAAAATTTCTGCATTTTCACTGCAATTATTTTCTGACAAGTCTTTCTTGTATAGATCGCGAGAGATGGTGATGCTTTGGGTCCTAGGATGATATGTAGTAACAAGGCAATAATAGTCATAAGAGTAGTTTCATGCAAATAATAGTGTATATCCAATGATTGCACACACCTTTAAGTGGATGAAAATATTAGTGATTGTGATAAGCCTTTTTAATCAATGATACTTTAGAATTTTTCTTGCTGGGAACATCATATTCAAACTGGCATTTTTATTTTCAGGCTGAGGCCCGGCTAGCCCAACGACGAGCAGCACGTGCAGAAGCGAGAGAACTGAGACTACGAGAACTCGAAAAGCAGCAGCAGGACCAAGAAAATGAAGAGGAAAAGCAATTTGGAACTCCTGCATTTGCAGGTGTGTATGTGATTTTGGTTATGATGATTTCCTCTTTATTCCATGGTTTTCCTCTTTAAGAGTATGGTTGTAAGACTCAAATTTTGTTTGCTTGATGCCAAGTACAGTGCAACCTCTTCTAATTATATGTCTTATGTAATCTTAGTGCTGCTAAGCATTACTTAAAAACATCTGTCAAATCATATCTTTTCATTTGGGGAAACTTTCCTCTTTGAGTAATACTACTTCAATTCATCTGTTGCAGTTCATTTAATTAAGAGAAGCTAAAATGGATAGATAAAAATAATGAGGATTTGATTATACTTTCATATAGATTTATATAAACCAGCACAGAACATTTATGTGTTTGGCTATTGTTTTAGCTCTTTGCCTTACTTCATTTTTGTGTCATTTGAATCCTTATTATTTTTATTTTGACATTCTCAAATTTATTAGGGATTGCATTGTACTGATAAAAAAGCTAAATGTATTTATTTTTTCCATGTTTGATCCTGTCATTTTGGGTACTGTTAATTGTTTCAGCTGAATGTTATAAAGTATACAGTAATGAAATAGTGTACTGTATGGGAAATGTTGTTATGCTTTACATGTTTCTTTATTGGATGTTATCTCTTTGAATTTATCTTGAATTTTTGAAGATAAGACTTTGAATTTATTTATTTATTTTTTTATTATTTTTTTTTTTTTGTAAAGCATATAACTTGAATATTAGGCTACTGAGAATATCTCTTGGAAGTTTAGGAGGAAGGTGACATACAAGTTCTGTGTGATGTAGAATGTGAAAATTTTGAGGTTTATTGGTAAGCTCCTGCATCCACCACAGAGGCCGAGGAAGATGAAGAGGAGGATGAGGATGAGGAGGAGGAATCCCAAGGTATTGGTGTAAGGGTGCTGTTGACTAAACCGAGAGAAAAAAAGAGATCAGATAATTCTTGCTTTCTTAACATTCCATTCCAAGTCTGTACATGCCTCTCCCTGAAGGTGTTTTAACAAGAAAAGCAAAATGCCAACCTGTCCACACACAACCCATATCCCACACCTCACAACCCACACCTCACACCCCACTTTTCCTATTAGATTTGTCTCGAGTGAAACCACTGCCTGTTGTCCTGTGATGGAACCATACCCCCAGGCAGAAAAGCGTGAGAGTGGATTTGCAAACCTAGAGTTCCTCTTGTGGGTTGACATGTCCCTCTCTTCTCCCAAATAATTCTTCACTGTCAAAATTCCTCATGACCACAGCTATTGTTTATTTTTAATGCGATTCATGTCTCTTTCCTTTCCAAATTAAGTAATAGATCATCCTTATGTAGCTGTTTGCATTAGTGTTGAAAGTCCTAGAGTGTTTTGATTTTATTTTTTCAGTAAGTTTTTTAGGGGGTGGTTTAACATGTGTACAGTATTTATTCTGTCGATAGTCCTCTAATATTGTAGCCGTTGGTTAGCGTGTAGATTCTCAAATTAACTTCGTGAATGTAGGTTTTCTTTCTCTTTCTATTTCTTTTAGGAGTTAGCTCTGAGATTTAGAAAGAAATTCTTTTTATTTTGTATTATTTTCATTTTTGTTTTCATTTTTGGCTCATGAGCTGTTGTTAGATTGATTCATAAATGAATGAAGTACTTAGCAGTATTCTTTTTCTTGTCATATTTCATTTGCCTTTTTATTTGTCCTGTATTTGATGAAGATAAATACTTTTAGATTACTACTATTTTATTTGTATAACAGTTTGTTGTTTTATTTTAATGTTTAGTTTTATTACTTTCAATTTTATTTTCATTTTATTATAATTTTTTCATTATTTTTATTAATGGTATTATGTCAATGTTATACCTGTGGCAGTTATGGCCATTGGCATTATAGCAAAACTACTGTAGACCAAGTTGAGTATATTGATATATGTATTATCATTATGGAAACTTTTAGCAATAGCATGTGATTGATCTCTTCATACAGCTGAGAAACTTTTTTACACACACGTACAGACACACACATGGGGCCAAAATGACAAAGAGTAATCAAGCAAAAGCACAGGTCTTAACACTATCCCAACATTCCAGAGCCATCACCTAGAGCGGCTGCCCCCACCCGGACGCCACTCAGTCGCACGGGGGCACTCAGTAGCGCGGGGCAGTTTTCCAGAAGGTCATCAGAGGACTCCACCACTGACGACTCTGCACTACCGGCCAACGTGAGGGAGATGAGGGTAAGTTTTGGGCATTTCCTTGTGTGGACCAGATTTTATTACAACAGTTTGTCAGAAATTTCCTAAATCAAGGTAATTATTAGGTTATTGAAATCTTTAACTTTTTGATTACCCTACGAGTTTTAGAATTTTTCTTGCAATGTGAAATTATGCAAGGAGGAAAGAAGAGTGGGAGTAAAGGAGGGTGCAAAGCATGCTCTAAACGTTTTAGTTGAGTTTATGGAGCGTGATATACTGTTATGCTATTGATATACAGTTACTTTTAATTTTTTTTTTTTTTTTTTATCATCATGAATCTATTTTCATTAACATTTATTATCATCATAAATATTGTTAATCAATATTTTTTTTTTTTACAGGCCGAATTGAAAGAATTAGACGAAAAATTCCGCAAGGCTATGATAACTAATGCACAGTTAGATAATGAAAAAGCGACTCTAACATTTGAAGTAGAACTTATGAAGGATAAGTATACCGAGCTTGAAGAAACACATACACAGTTATCGGTAAGTAAATTCAAGATGGTATTAGAGAGAAACTTGTATGTGATGAGTAAGTGAGACATATAATTAAGATCAGTTATTTTTATATTACCACAGCTAGTCACTAGCTGAACATGAAGTACACCACCAAAAGATTAATTTGAAATGGTCATTAAATACGTATTTTGGTACAAATTATTGATTGAAAAAATATATCTGCATATATTGGTTTGATACAAGTCTAAATAGGGATGATCTCTCTTCTGCAGAAAGAGCATAGGAAGAAGTGTACTGAATATGAACAACTTAAGAAAGTAGCAACAAAGTTACAAGAAGAAGTTAAAGCTCTTCGGGCTTTGTTACAAGAAAGAGATGCGTTAATACAGGTGAGGACAATTAGAGAAGTTGAGTTCATTGGTTTCTGTTCTTTCTTCATTACATAATTATTTCTTCTATGTGTTCTGGCTATTTTCAAAGTCACTATTGTCTCTTGAATGATGTTTCTCTCCTTTTTCTTCTCTATTCTTATATTTTGTTACTCTTTTTTTAAGAGAAGTTTTTATAATTGTTGCATTGTAATTTCTAACGTTATTTGTGAACTTCTCTTATATTTTGATAAAGTCAGTATATTTTTAGAACAAACATTAGATTTATAATTCTTTTTTGCTTTTGCTTTCTACTTAATTATCAGACCATATTCTTTCCATGAAGTTTCTTACTTATTGTACTCTCTTGTCTCTTATAATAGTTCTTATTATCTCCTTTTTCAGTTTCGTAAGGAGTACCAGTGTATTATTATTTTCCTCTTTTGGAGTGAGAGATTTGTAGTGAAGGTTCAAATGACGAAAACAGGACTTAGTTACTTAGTATCCAATTGATTGAGGTAGAAATTAGCAAGCATGTCTGAGTTCTGGTTTTCGTCGAACTGTCTCCATATTTTTCTCATTGTTATCATTTATTCTTGCCATTTGCAGGAATATGGCTTGGTGGTGGTTGGCGAGGAGGAGAACGGCGAAGCGGATATTCCCGTCAAGGATGAGGACGATGAGTTTGCTGACATGGATGACCTCACACCTAGGAAGATTGCCGTGAAGAAGGCGCTGCTTTCTCAGGAAGCAGCTGATTTGCTCAGCAAAGGAGCTGCTCAGGATTCATTAGGTATGGGAGGTTTTTGCATTGTCTCTTTTCTTTTCTGCTTCCATCTCTTCCCTTTGAGTTTTTAAAACAAGAATAGTTGTCAAAAATAAAAAAATTGATAGGTGATTTGTAAGTAGGTATGATTTTTTTTTCTAGATATTCAATCTGCTTCGTGTAATGTACATGATTCGATAATTTATTAGGAATATGCAACATGAGTTATTTACATATATATATTTTAGTACTAGAAGTGTGTATTATTATTGCCTAGGTTTTATTTATATTTTTGATATTGGTTTGGTTACCTTTTCAAGGTTCTTTATACTGGCACCTGATTAGGAAGCATGGAATTTGAAATTCTACTTCAAAGCAAAAAGGCTGAAGTTTTAATTGAGATCTAGCATGCAAGATATTTGGTATGGCATTAAGAGTAACTGAATTTGGACCCTTCAGAGGTTTAGTGGTATCAGTGGCAGGCTTAGGATTGATAGTTTTCTTTGTAGTATTTCTCTTGGTGTTTAAGCCAATAGCAGAGAGCATAGAATTGTGGGGAGAGAACTGGACAGGGGTCTGTGATGTTGGAGATATGGTTGCTGCAGGTGATGTATGTGTTTTGTTGCTAGAAGTGAAGTTTCATAACATCCTATTGACCCTGACTGCAAGTACATCTTTACAAATTAAAGAAATATGTTTTGTGCATAGATAGGTGTCCTTTATTGGAAGAAAATGTGGGTAGTTATGAATCAGTATTTGTTAGGACGTACAGGATGACATGAGAATGTAATGCAAGATTTATGGTATCAGCCTGAAGGATTGGAATAATTCTAGTGATGCCTACAGGATTGGAATAATTCTAGTGAAATGAGGGAAAGTCCATTTGCTAGTGCTGTGGAAGTCATGAAAAGTAGAAGATTGCAGTGCTAAGAACAAACAATAAGTGCCTTTATTCACTTGGTAGGATTAATACTGACTGAGTAAAGACCTTGGAAAACACATTAAGGTTGTATGCTGTGAGCTAAAAGGTAAAAGATTGGAATGAAAACAGTCACTTCAGCAGGCACTCATTCAATCCAAGGGTGAAAACATGTAAAACCAATGAGGATGATTGAGAGTATTTATTCATTTTAACATATTCTCCTCTCTCAACAGATGTTAGGTTAAAGAAGTTTGGTGAAGAGAAGAAGGAACTAGAAGACCAAGTTAGAAGATTGAAGCTCGAACTCGAGGAGGAAAAGAATAAGAACAGAAGAAGAAAAGAAAATGGTTTAGACTATGACAGGCAAAGTAAGTGTCATGGCTAGAGGCCTCTTGCATGATCAAACTCGTGTTATAGCATGGTGTTGTGTCCTTAAGCAACAAGACTGTTGGTTGACTGTTGCGTAACTAGCAATGTATTTGATTGATGGTTTTAACCTTTTTTCAGAGGAACAAAACAAAACTGTAAACGAATATAAGTTTAGAGTGCAGAAGGCAGAAGCTGAAGTGTCTACTTTACAGGCTAACGTGAGTATGATTTCTTTAGCTCGATTTTTGCTCTCAGGCCAAAAAAATTTATTGGCTCCTGAGGTTCTCTCTAGGGCAAGTAGATGATTCCCAAGAAGTGACCAAGCATGTTGGATGTAGCCCTTTTTCTTGTTTTATTTCCTTTGTTTGTACTGCAAGTGGTACTTCTCAGGCGTGCGTTCTTTATTTTGTCACATTAGTTTGGGTCTATCACATGTGTTTCATTTTCAGACAGAAAGTGAGTTATGGTTTACTTTATTTTCTTTTTCAGTCTGTTTTATTGTTTTTAGATACACAGTCTCACCATCCAAATCTGACCAAAGTTCTTAAAGAAAAGTTGAAGTACTTAACGAATTAGGTCATTCTTTCTGCTTTTGATAGTTGTTATTCTTGTGATTATAGATATTCAGGTTAAATGTTTTTAACCTTTCATGTGGTAGGATCTAGCACATTAAGCAAATTGGCTTATTCTTCAATAGTAACCTGTCTTTTAATTGTTTCATGCTCTTTATGGTTTTCAGCACCAAACCTCTTTGCATTCTCAAGGCTAAACAAGATTACTTTCTCTTGTACGATGGAGACTAATTTTTGTTTACTGCACAGGTGGCAAGGCTGGATGCTCTCTCGGCTCGATATAGGACCCAATCGGAAGAACTAGAGAAGAGTGAAGAGGAGCTAAAATCGGAAAAGCGAAAATTACAACGGGAAGTAAGTATCTTCTAGAGCTTCTAATGCTTTGATGATTTTGTTTTTTTATCTTTATTTCTTGTTTTAATTCTTTAAATTGCTGTTCGTGATTTACTGTAATTGTTAACATGGTAGTATTTATTACCTTAGGAGGATACAAACTGGATGGATAATAAAATAAGAGGTCCCTTATATCCCATAATAAAGATGAAGCCTTTTATACATGGTAACTTATGAACTTTGTACAGCAGATTCCTTTTCCATTTCACCTCCTTCAATGCCTCTTTACAGAATGGGTTGGGAAAGTGCTTATAGAGTGTATCTTAGTGAAGATTTTGCATCGGCATTATAATTATTATTATTCCAATGGGTACATGTATATTTCTCTACTCAAAATAGAATTCGAAATACGATTGTTCATAAATTGAAACACTCATCATTGTCTTTGTCAGGTAAGATAGAATAGAACACTGTGCAGAATTAAAACAAGGAGTTTATCGAGTTTCATCTATTCTCATTTTTAGTTTTAAAAGCTAACACAATTTCTCATATGCATTATTTTCATTAGTATTCTGTAGGATACACTTACAAAACAGTTTCATGTTGTTAGCCCTGGCTTGTGAAGTTTCATATACATTATAGTTCATAATTTTTTGTAGGATCTACACATAGATTTACTTTAATAGCCCCAGTTTGTGAAGGTTCTTTACTTCACAGATAAAAGCCTTGGTATTTAGAATAGGTGCATCAAACACACTGACAAGGTCATAATTCTCTCACCAGCTGCGAGAATTACAACAAAAATACGATGAACTGGATTCTTCGAAGAATTTCCTCCAGAGGCAGTATGATAAAATGAGGCACGACAGAATTGGCCGATTGTATGTAAAATCGACAAGTTGCCCAAAGTTACACATTAAACCATATCATAGTTGTCTTTGGTTGTAGACAAGCTCCAGAAGCTTTGTATTATCGCAGTGTTTTGCTTCTGATATTAGGGCTGAAATGATAAGAAAAATTGTCATAACCTTCCTCTTCTATGATTCATGTGCTACAACTAATATAAATGAGACCTTGAAAAGGTGTCCATCCAATGATTGAGTGAAGTCCTTGTTCACAGTTATGTATATTGTTCCTTGTATTCATGAATTATTTGTTTGGGGAGTTTTCCAGATATTAGGATTGCGGCACTGGCATAGATTATTCATCCACTCCTATGTGTATATGTTGTCATTCTTTGAATTTTGTTGAAATGATTTTCACATGTAATGGCATGATTCAATTATGCTTATTAATAGCTTGGCATTTGTGTTGTACATAAGCTTTATTACACACACTGCAAAATGCTGATTCTATGAGAGCTTGTGTACATGCACTGTCCACTGGGATATCAGTTTATTAATTTTGGTTACACAGAGATGGCTCCCCAAGTGTTTACTCACTAAGGAATCAGTTACTAGACCTACCAGGTCTCACCTATTTAAACCTTCCTTGAATTTTTGGAAAGAAAATTAGTATTGTTGATATTATAATAGTAATTATGCCAGTAGTGATGATATAATGGATGATTTTTCCCAAAATTTCAATGAATATGGGAAACAAGTAAGATCTGGAAGGGCCTGTAATTGACTCCAAGGAGACTAAGTGCTACTGAAGCCATCCACGGGTAGACAAAAATGACAAAACAAAATCACAGTAGACAGTTCATGTACACATCACTAATAGGTTAATTGTAAATATATATATAAAAATATATTTGTATATTTGTATCACCTGAAATCTAGTTCCTTTGCCTAATTTGGCACAGATTTTGAGTTTCCTCAATCATCATGCTCTCCCCTCCCAGATTTATATATCAGATTAAAGTATACAAGGTGATTAGGTTTGTGTTGTGAGAGCCACAGATCATACTAGGAACATTGATGTAATTCATTGCTCAGACTGTGCCAAGTTCTAATATATTTCACAAGAGTTCCAAGAATACTCATCTAGTTTTATAATAAATACCGTTTTTTTGTATCTGAAGTCACGGAAAACAAAATGGCTATTTCACATTCCTTTGGTTAAATTACCTACTTACCAATAGTTATTAAATAGTCCCATTTGGTATATCTGTATGGATTGTTAGTATTGAACAACTATGTTGTTTTAGCAGTGATTCTTCAATAATATGGTTCTCAAAGGTGCCAGATTAGGGGTGTGTGACATGTGTGTGTGTGCCTATCTGTTATTTACACACACACTAAAATTTGGGGTGTGATTTTTGTTTTCTATTTGTTTATAGATGAACAATTTTTTTGTTTTTGTTTTTTGCTAATATATAGTCTTTATTTATAAGCTAGCACAAAGACAATTAAACCTCTAATTTTGATTTCTTCCACACCCTATTTATATCAGTGAGTCAAAACATTATTGATATGGAATGAGTTTTGGGTGATGGGTTACGAGCTTAAGCAACCAGCAGTTCTCATTCACATTTGTTAGCAACATGGTGATGAAATATCTCCCACATTTACTCATGAATATGGCAAGATCATGAATTAGAATTGGCAAAAAAAAATTCAGTAAATTGTTGGTGCTTTGCAAGTGGAGACCATTGTACAAATGTTATGAAAATATATAGTTCATGACACTAATGTAAATAAGTTGTTGAGTTTGTGTAAGTTATTAGTCAAAACTTTTTAAACAGCAGGTTTTACTTATTAGAGTCTTCTTATGGCTGTTTTGCAGTAATAGTCTTGTAAATATATGCATTAGTTAAAAAATGATAATTGGTGTGTTGCATTACTCAAGATGTTTACTACTTTTGTGTTGGAAGGGATTTTTTAAGTTTTGGGTTTTGCAAATTTCTATTAGTTAACTTGAATTATTAAAGTTTCATACTAAAACCTCTTTATCTTTTAAACCAGCTTCTTCACACAATTATACATGACTCTCATAACATACAAAATAATTACCATTATGACAGCCAACACTATAATGAGCAGTATGTCATCCAATTTACTAATTATTTGACTGTCAGAAATGCAACAAAAAAGGTCTTACTCATGATCTTATTTTCATTTCAGCTAAGGGATGCCCAGAATAGGTTAGAAGAACTGGAAACCACCAATAGCCATCTAATAAAACGGTTTGACAAGTTAAAAAATGCCAGATCCACCCTGCTCAAGGACCTGTCCCAAGACCCTGCCTGAGGAGCTGGGCGGACCTGCAGCCTCTCCTCCCAAGGACCTCCGACCTCTCCTCCCGCCAATCTTCAACTTGTAGGCCACGATGACACCCAAAACCTGTTGGGGAAGCTTGACGAAGTTCCTGGGTGAATAGTGCTTATGGACTATTCAGTGTGATACAATGTTACTAGGAATGTAGGTGTTGACTGCATATTAGGAGAAGAAAAAAATAAGAAAACAGTTCTCTCTCACTCTCTCTCTTTATTGTTTTTTTGTTTTTTCATTATCATTATCATTAGTGTGATGGAAATATGGTACTACCTAGTAATGAGGTTATTTAGGAATTATGATAATAAAAGTTATTTGAGTTGTGTACATGGACGTATTGTGTAATACAGCAATATGTGAATGGTTTTATGATATATCTGCCTTCAGATTGCTTGTTTGCAGAAAGTTGCCAGTTGTTACAAGTTGAAGGCTTGCTTACTGAGTATCCCACAGTAACTACTTAATCATCACCCCCCCCCCCCTTTCTCTCTCACAACCCCTTGCTCCCCTCTCCTTATGAAAATCTCTGTGATTATGTTAATATTTGATGGGTGGATACTTTAGACCATTTTAAAGAATATATGAAACATAATGATAACTGAAAAAATAAAAGGATGCCTTTGTGCCTCAACAACCTTTATAGCTTTTGAAGTTAATATGCCTCAGGTGATGAGTCTGCCTTCTTGGGTGGGTTAACAGTTGATGATACTTTAACCAGGGCTGCTTTTACACAGCATCATCTCAGGCTAAAGTGGTCTTTGTTAAAGCAACCCAAACTGAAGCTTTACTGTACTTGAAAACAGGGCTGAAGCTGCCACTGCCTAGCTGGTTGGACACTTGTTATACACTGTCAACCTTGGGGTCTATACAGAGTGTGTGAAGCCTGGAAGTTTTTGTTGAATCAGGTGATCAGTGAGTTACTCATTTGTTTTTTTTTTGGCTCTTTATTGATTTTAAATATTACTATTCCTATTACTATTATCATCAGCTTAATTCAGTTATATTTTTATTCATGAAAGTTGCTAAAAACTAAATCAAAATATTTCAGAAATACTGATACCATTTCAAAATTATTTTCCATTTCTTTTCCATGTTTAAAATCTTAAATTGCCTTGCTTCCACCTGAAACAGCATTAGGTTTGTTCTAGCGTTAGAGTATATTTTTTGTGTTAAATCACAATTTATTTTCATTTGTGTTTTTTCAACATTCAATTTCTTCCTTGTACCTTTGGAGTGCATCCTTGTAGCCAGTAATTATAATCATATTCATGTTTGCAGAGTGATGTCCATATTTCCAATGGACTTCCTGTTTTTTTCTCTCTTTTTTTCTGTCCACCATAAATATATAGATATATTTTATGCGCGTGGAGTGTTAATACCGTTTGGAATTTAATGTGATAATTTTTAGAAATGTGCCACTGTGCCGTTGTTCCTGTCCGAGCACATCATGTCCATTTTAAAGAACAATAGATTATGGTTGGTTGGTTAGTATATTTATTTATATTATTGTCCAAAAAAGAGAAGAATTTGTATGTTGTTATTCTATCCATTGTTGTTCTCATTAGTGAGGAGAAAGGAGTGACCAGAAATTGCTACACAGGTTCATTGGTCTCTCTCTCTCACAAGTGTTGCACAAAACAAGTTTACTTTATGACAAATGTTATTTATTGTTACATGTGATTGAAGCTTCTGGCATTGTTGAGCATAATCGAGAAGTGGATCATTCCTCCCTGCCGTAACAGGAATGCCCTAATTGCGAAGGGGCAAATTATGAGCAGCCAGTGCTTTATCCTTCCAAACGTGCTAGCCTATCACACAGATTTATGCATGTCCCATTTGGTGCAGGAAAGCACTCAAGTCAGCCTACAAGGAATCTACAAAGAAAGAACAAAGAAAATGCCGCATGTATTCATTTAGATCCAGGGAAATAGTCTGTACACTTTCTCAGTCATGCAGAGTGATGAAATGTCTTCATTACACATACCAGCAGAATTTCTCATCATGGTTACTTAAGTCTTAAAACACAGATACAAAGTCAGAATGCTGACACTGCTTTCATTTCAGGAAAAATATAAATATAGACCTATATATAAACACATCTGCGAGTTTCATCAGTTGAAGTTGGTGGTAGAAAACTCCATGAGCAGCATCTCAGCTCACACTGATGTTGCATTAACCCAGTGATGAATGCCCACCATACCATACCAGGTACACATGTCAGGGTCAGATGGCCAGAGCCTCGTGCAGTCCCGTGCAGTCAAGAAACTCAAGTGTGAATCTTTGGTGTAAATCAAAGCTGAGCCTCACTTACCTCAACCAAGGCTGATGGTCTTCGATGACTTCACAGAGGAACGTGCATGCCAAATACTGTTCAGGTGGTGGGGAGCTTCAACTAACCCAGCTCTTAGGGACCACTTAGGCAACAGCTGACAGAGATCGCCTCGAAGCACTCGTGTGTTTACATAATTACCCTGACTGCCCCTGGCTCAGCCTAGAGCTGGTGGTCAGTTAGTGTTGCAAGATCGAAGTGGTTCAAAAGTGGGTTAGCATTTTTAAGATAGATAAAGTAGGTATATTTGTCCAGGGTCATCAGATTAGTTTGGTTTCTCTATTTTGAAAAAAGTTGATGTAGTACTTACACATTTGGTGAGAAATTGACCAAGAAATTCATGGCATTCATGTTGGTGATTGCCAGTTATTTTGATAGTTGTTTGAATAATTTCTAGTTTTATCTTATAGTTTGAGCTTTTCATTTGTCCAAAAAGGGGGAAAGAAATGTTTAAAGGTTAGATAGAACCACAGTTTTCAAGACTATCCTGATAAGAGTGGAGTATGAAGAGCTTGATTGATCATGAACTAAAAAGGAAATGTAAATAGGATCGAATCAGCATTGGGCCAATTAGTATCATATTAGAGAAACTCATATTTTTTCTATTGAGATACCTATTTTTGGTCTTCCAACTTTTTATTTTTGAAAGGGTCTGCATGTGAAGGTTTTGTGTCGTGCTGTGAGGTTGAAGTTCAAAGTAAAGCGCTTTGTCCACAAGGAGTTCTAGACGAAGACAGTCTCTCTTATTTATCAAGCTAGTGTGTGATGATTATCTTGCATAAAGAAGAGGAGGAAGATGCTGCTTCTTTCCTACTCTTGAAAGTTTTGCTTTCGTTTGGAAGGCGTTTTGCTTATGATGTACTGGTACTTATTTTCTTACAGGGGTTCTGGCATGGTCATTAATAAGTGCCAGATATGTATTTATTAGTGCTCACATAACATGATTTTATTTTATTTTATTTGCACAGTGTGCCATGTTATTGTTTTTAACTGCAGAATTGATTAAAGGCACAACATCAGATATGTTAAGTGTTAGAGGAATATTTATATATACAAATATATATATAAAAGATGACAATCGTAAGAGATCAGTTGGATGTAATTTAAGAGAAGGAATTTCAAAAGCTCTTTGTGTTGCAGACCCTTCTAACGTCAGGCCGAGGTACCCTTGAGGGACTCGAGCCTGTTGCCAGTCATAGCTGTAACTTCATGCTCAGTGTGCCAATAGAGGATTCTGTTGGCCCCATGCTAGCAGGAGTGCTCAAGGGTAGTGTTCTAAAGGTTGTTTGCATCAAGCTATTTTGCTCCTGGAGGAGGAGGCCCAGACGATGAAGTATGTAGTCAGATTTGGTAATTTCTTTGGCAATGTGAGTGCGAACAAAGGACAGTTTGTTAGTGTGTGAGTGCGTGATAGTGTATGCATGCATGCCAGGCAAGTCTGTGAAAATGTTTTGACTGTTCCAAATGACATTGCCCAAGCAATTACTGGTACTATTTTTTATATTTCACAGCCTGGTTTTAAAAAGTTGCTGTAATTTTTTACGAAATGGAAGAAAATGCAATATTATTTCATTACTGAGAAACATTGATTAAACACAGCCATTTAGCATGTGTCTTGCTCATGAAGGTTGCATACTAATGAAAAAAGTACTGTGTGGGGACAGCTGATTATCATCACCTAAAATTTACTCCTTTGCAGCCAACAAACAGTGAAATTACCCTAAACTACTTATTTATTTATATACATATTTTTTCTTGTATACATAATATGGATATTGGCTTCCTCTTAATTAGTTTAGCTTCATTCTTCCATTTGTGATAACCAATATTTCTAATCTTCCAGTTTATAATAACCAGTAATGAGAGCTTAAAGTCTTTAGATCTGCTTCTTAAACCTTTTCCCAAAGAGGCCATATTATATATGATGTAGTAGGCCCAGTCTTTTAACAAGAAAAACAAAAGCAAAAAGAAACAAAAAAAAAGTGCTGATATTGAAGTACCTTTACATTTTGTAAGCAACCGTTTTAGTTTTATTTATTTTACTTGTTTTTGTTTTATTCCACAATATATTTGCCACCAACCACCATCAGGCAATAACAAATGCAAATTGTTTGTGATACAAGGCTCAGCTTCCGTGCAGTCCTTCATCCAGGCTGGTTGAAGGTGGAATGCATTCGGGGCTGTTGTCCAGTACACATGTAAGGTGCTTCAACTTCTGGATAATAAAGAAATATCTGGCTTCATGTGTAGGTCAGTGGAGTGACCTATATTTGGCTTTATGTATAAATTTGTGAATGGCTTGATTGTACAGAGTTGGAGATGTGTAAATAATGGTCCTTATTTCACACTGTGTAAAAAATAGCAAATAAATTAATACTGACCTTAGTATTTACTATGTTTATCCTCAATTCTACCTCTGTGAAAGCAATATTAACTTAACAGTTATAAAACTAGTATTGGTATGAGCTTTCTGCCACTAGTTATTAAACATGCATAAAAACATTAAATTCTATAGAAATGTTCTTTGCTTAGCTAATAGCTAATAAAAATTATTTTATTATTATTATTCAAGTAAGTAAACTCCTGAATCATTAAACATGAAGACTCATTTCTTCAGACTGGCTTTTTGGCTGCAGTAAGCTATTTGATCTACATGTTCCCTGAAGTTGGTACAGCCATCAGCTAAGTTACATTAGTTGGGAATA